CTACCCTTGTAAGTTCACATGTGGCATTTTTCTTGATTTTGAGCATGTTGCATTCTTCGTATTTAAACCTGTCTTTCTTATTGAAGCCCATTTAAGAGCTCTTTTAGAATTGACAAGCCCTTTTATATGGGAACATACTGAGTATTTTGTATTGCTAGTGTAATTTAATTTCTTAAAATCTGAAATAATATAATCTAATAACTGATGGTTAAATACATAATTTTTGCTTTTAGTTTCTGTTAGTATGCTTAAAGGTATATTTTTATCCTATATTCATTAGAGGAATGATAGTAGATTGAAATTTCATTGTTAAAAATCATTTTTAAATGGGCACCACTCCTGTAGCCATTTTGATTACACATAAGTTAACTTTCATTATCTATGGCATAAAGAGAAAATAATTATTTTCCTATAGAAACTGAGTAATATAGGCAGTTCTGTTAACTATTCTCTGAAGACTTATGGGGAATCACAAAGCAAAGAAAATTTTGAAACAATAAAAGCTTTATTTTTTGAAAAATCTTTTTGATGTAGTATCTTAGGACAAATTGTAAATGGAATTGTCTCTGACTAGCATTCTTAATTCTTAACTATGTAAACAATATCAGTAGAAAAAAAAGTACTGATATTATGCCTAGAATAGATGAATTCCATTGACATTTGTCTTTGAAGACCACTTTCTGAGTCTAACTTTTCATCTGTGGCTTTGGATCCAAAACATTTCATATCTAGTGCAATTCTAAAGGATCTTCTGTATTTTGTTGGGGTAAAGTCACTTGAAGATACAGCATGACTTGTATCTAGTAGAATATTGTGTGTTGTGCTCGCCGTCTGAGGAAGTGAGTTTGAGTCTTAATTTAGCCATTACCTGTTTGACCTTAGACAATTACTGTTGTTCATGACCTTCCTACTGTTTTCCCTGTACCAAGGAACTATAACTAGAGCACCAACATGATTTTGTTTTTTGTTTTTTGGGTTTGTTTTTGTTTTTGCTTTTAAATCCTGAATCTTTTTATACCCTATTAAAAACTGAAAAAATAAAACAAAAACTAGGGAAAGACATGTAATATGAAATTAAATGTATTCTTTTCTATTATTTGATTCCCAGCCCACTATCATGTCATTTAGTGTATGAATACAATCAAATAAAACAAACTATCAACTAGTCACTGTAACTGCACTTAAATTGAGCTATAATTTAATGACAGTGCAAAAGAGAAAGTAAGCCATATTGTTAAGGGGATGATATTAAGCTGCTTATAAAACACCAGTGTGTGTTGAGAATACTCTCTTCTAGAAAGTGTCTTGCTTGATTTATTGGCTTTTACTAATTGAATGGAAATGGTTAAGTTTGTTCAGTTTTTTGGCTTTAGAGACAACCCCAAACTTCAGTTCTGTTTGACTTTCCAGTATTGAAAGGCTAGTATACAGCCAGGATGTCAATGTTTTACAAATGTCTGTATAAATCTGAAGGTAGTTATATTCAGGGTTAGTTTTTTCAGTACTGTCTCATCCTTACTCATTTATGCTTACTGTGAAGACTGAAATCTAAAAGTCAACTTCCCAAGAAGGTTTTTTTTTTCCCCCAAAAAAGTATTTTTTAACAGTTCCAGGTAACCAGAGCTACATAGAGGACCAATTAAAAAAACAAAAATTTTTTTTTTAGCTACTTCATTTTAAAGTTAGAGTAGAAAAAAAGACACTTTCACAGACGTAAAGTCAGTTTTAAATGTATATAGTCTAGTGCAATGTATAAGAAATGTTAACTCGGAGATTTAGAGGCATACCTCGAAACAAAAAACTTGATACTAAAGATGACCATGAGGTAAAAAATCTTCACTAGAATATTCGAATGAAAACAGTGAATTGCCCCCATTCAAGGCACTTAAGATTACTAGAAAATTCAGTCTTATTGTAGAACCAGATGACCTATGTTATTTTCAACGTGGCCAAAGAACTGAAGACTGATTAGGTTTCTAGAATTTGGGGGTGTTAGTCACAGAGAGGCTCCTTTTGCACTGTTTTAAAACCAATAATCTACCTTTTCTCATAGACATGGGGAAATAAAATGTGCTGTGTATATTTTTTGGAATAAAAAACAAAGTTCTAGAAGAATGGAAATGTTCTCTTTCATGAACTTTAGTTAAAAAGTTACCTCATTTTTCAGTTCATAAGGTGCTTTGCTCCAGTTTGTGGAATGTAGCACCATCCCATAAAAACCCCCTTCACCTAAACTATTAGAGATATGCAAAATTCCCAACTAAGGGACAGCGTTCCTTGGAGATTTTGTTCTCTTTTACTCGTTTACCACCAGCAGGGCTAATGTGGTGCAGCTGATCCACGTACTGTCTTCATTAGCACAAGGGCAAGTGCTCAGTCAACAATTAATTGAATTAAAATCAAATAAGGGAAAGGAACAGCCCTAAAATTTGATTGATTGATTTATACTGTGAATCTATTGCCATCAGTGCTGGTAAGATATCAAATGACTATCAGTTGACGCTGGTTATGTACAATTTGTTTGCATATTTTGGCCCTATTCATAAGCAACTGTAATCATTTTAATCTTCTTGCATTTTCCTTCAGGAAATTCAGGGACTCTGCAGTCCCTGTTTGGTTCTCTTGGAGTAAACTGTTCAGTGTAGTTATGAAAACTTCATTTTTGATTTTAAAAACGTTTAGCTGCTATCTTATTAAAAGTGTGAACTAAAATGATGGTTATGACTTTTTTCCAATTATGTAATAGTTATAAACCTTACCCTGTTCATCTATTGTACAGAGCATGGTTTAAAAAACTAAAACTAAAAGCAGTTACAGCTTTGCTCTTGGCGCTTGTTCTAATCAGAATATAATGATTATAATCACACATCACCATCGTAACATAAATTGGTGCTTTAGAGCATTAAAGGAGAAACAGCAGGCCCTGTATAATATATTTCTCTCCTCAGAATGTAAAACTACATTAAAGTGTCTGTATTTATATGTATGTTCATTTCTTAAGGTTTAAATACAAACTGTTGTTAATCTGATGGATTCATCAAGCTACAGGCTTTCTGCAAATGCTGTAACAGTATCTTAGCTAATGAGCTTGGTCAAATGAAGATGGTATTAAAGCCAGAATTATGAATTGGATCTCTCTGGGGGGCCCCAGTATTGTACAGAGGAAAAAAAAATTTCTTTCGTACCATGAACTGCGCTTCTTAATCCCACTCAAGCAACTGAGATGTGTGCTACTGGTCCAATATATAAAGCATTAATAAAACCCTAAGAGCAAACAAATTACTTAATGCATTCACATCATTGCTTCTTGAAAACGGTTCAAAGCGTGTTCTTCTAATGGTGGGGTTGTTGAAAAGACATGATTTAAATTTTTAATAGCTTTATTACTGTCATGAAATGCTTCTATATGTTAAAGTTACGTTGCTGGTACTCATGATTTTTTATTTCTGCAATTGTGCTGTAATGAGTTGCTCGCATGCCTACTTACCCAAGTGAAAGGATGCTGTTTGCTCTGGAATGTTCATTTTTTAGACAGGTTTTGTCTCATTTGCAATCATGGTGCAATACTGTGTAACATTCATTTGTTTTCAGTCAACAGTTTTATTTTTGTCATAATAAATAATTACTTTTCCAATATGATGTGAGCCTAGTGGTTTGTTTTTTTTTTTAAGATAAAATTTGTTTTAACAGTCTTGTTGCAAGTGATAAAAACCTCTAAGCTAACAGAGAGGAATTTTATTATTGAGTGAGGTGGTGGGCATTCATGGAGTCCAAGGTAGGGGACACCACTGGATTTCTGGAACAGTCTGGGAGTGAGACCCAGGAACGCTGAGAAGAAACGAGGACCTCATCTTTCTCCTACTTATCTCTTCTTTCTCAGTCTTCTACTAGATTGTTATTTTCTGTTCCCTAGTCCCATGGCAGATAATGTCCAAGTTTACTAGCTCCTTTGTACAAGGGAGAAGTCAGGTTATCATAGGCTTTGAGCCACAATTCCATGTTCCCCAGGTGACTGTTCATTTGCCCACATTGGATCGGTTACTCTTTCTGGTCCAAATACCTGTGGCCTAGCAGAAGGTACACCTGCCAGAGGGGGAGAAGCCTGAATGGCAGG